CAGTGGTAATGGTCACTAGTGAGGAATGAACTTAAACCGCTCTGACGCTGACATCACTTGACAACTTTCAAGATTGTCGATGAGACTTGAAGATTATCGAACTGCAGTTTAAAAAATAGATTATTAGGTAATAAGAGGAAATAAGGATTATATAACAAAGCAGCCACTGAAATGTGCACATTCCAATCACAACTTATGTAGACATAAAAGAACAGATCAAAACTATCTAAAATAAGATAAACTTGAACTCCTGGTTAAATGTACTATACATTTTAAAAAGACAGCTTTTAGTTGAATAAACTCCCTGCAAAGTACTCAATACAAAATGAGCTACAGGAAAATGTCATTTACAAATTCTTAATATTAAGCAAGCACCAAGCAGGTGAACCTGCTTAGAGACACAGATGGCGTAACTTTCCTTCTATTCAATGCTACAGGCCTTCCTCTGCCTCTGCACAAAGCTTTGACCTTTGCCAAAAACAGTCTTGACCCTGCCATTCCAGAACATGGGTGTCACCAAGGACAGCTGCCAGAACTTTGGACGGCAACTTTTCTTCAAATCTAAGTCATCTATGCTTTGATCATGTTGGATTGAGATGGTTCTGCATTTTATTAGCCTACTAGAAAGATTCAGGACCTTTAAAATCTTGGATGTTTATGATCTCCAAAACTACTTGTCATTTCTTTTTCTGCCTTTTCTTCACAGTCACACTGCTTTATTACATGGCTGTGGTATTACGGATATTGACACGAACATGAACAGTGCTAACTTGCTTTATGAATAAAAAGTTAAAATTTTAGCATGTGATTTAAAGTTCTCCTCAAGCCAAAGTATGCTAATTAATCATTTTAGGAATATATATATACATACATAAATATTTATATATACACACTCATTCTATTGATCCCTATTTGAATCTTGAGACGCAAAATGGATTAGATATATTTTCTAGTAAGGGACAAATTTTGGATTCTGACCATATTAAATTTTTTAATCTGGGATAAAATTTGTCTCAAATGTGTGAGACATCAAATAGTTACTTTTTACAAAAGTTTTTTATAATTTTTCATTTTGTTGGTTACAAGCTAATCTTTTCAACTTTGGCTTGCTTTCAGAGGAAAAATTATTTGCTCTTTAGAGCATAGTCAGAAGTTGAGAAAAATAATAAATCAGTTTAGCATATTAAAATAACAAATGCATTTTGAATTAGAACATTGGAGAACCACTCACATAGACAATACTTTTATTCAAACATATATGTTCGTTCAGCCATCTTCATAACTGAAAGGGAAGTTACCATTAAATCATTTGCTCAGGCTGTATTAAGATTCTAGGATTAAATTATGTTACAAAGCAGGCACTTAATCCTGCATCTCACACCAGAGTATATGCATTGAATTCCAAGTTCTTGCTCTGATTCCAGCTTTCTGCTAGTGTGAACTCTGAGAAACAACCGTAAAGTCCAAGTAACTGAGTTTCTGCCAGCCTTTGAGCTAACGGCTCCCAGCTATTGGTCCTGGACCAATCCTGCCGTTGTGGTCGTTTGGGACATGAACAAGAGGATAGAATATCTCTCTCTTTTTCCCTTTCTGCCTCTTATATTTAAAAAAGAAAGACCATAAATATCACAGTCCTTTTAAAAAATTTTTCCATAATTTTCATTTTTCCCAAGATCTTTTTCTCATTTTAACATCATCATTTTATAGGAAAATTTTGAGTTTCCAGAAAGTACGATCTATCATTTGGTTTTTCACTAGGTCAAGGAAGAAGTTCCAATTATCTCCTATTAATTTTAGCATAACCATTACCATACATAACAATAATGCATACTATCATGTATAGATATTTACAAAGTTCATGAAAATGAAATAAAAGCAATATTTGTGGTCCAACTCAAGAAGGTTTGAAATTCATGTATATTTATTTGACAGTTACACATTACATAAATACTACTGTTATGTTTAACACTATACAACATTTATTATGTACTGAATACTTAAGTATAATGGCAAATTTCTATAAAGAGAGTTTGTGGGAGAGTTTGACTACCTATAGTTTAATACAGATTTATTTCTATACAAAGCAGAAGTATTAGAAAAATTCTTCAGATTATTGAGCTAACCCTCAAGGCAGATAAAGGAGCATAATAATTGAATGGCATATAAATTTTTGGAGGTATGGGCTAATCTAGAATCTATAAAGACCCAAGAAGTTGAACTACATGCATTCCATTTCTATGAAATCAAAGAAGAATAAATTATGCTTCATAGAAACATAATTTCTGTGAGAAGTCCATTCAAGTTTTGTTAGAAAGGGTTGGCTTCAAGGTTACAAGCCATGAGTGATCCCAAGCAAGTCCACACAGCCATGCTACCCTACTGTCAGAACAAAGATGAGTAAGTCTTTCATCGCACACTATGGAGTACATGTGGATTTTCTCTGTATCTGTAAGCACATTGCTTCCTTTCATTCCACCCTTAACTGACATGAAGTTTCCCCCTTGACTGATTCTAAGATTTGGACAAATGCATTTATCTTTCATTCTAAAATGATTTGAGAATACCTCCAAACTAAAAGACTGAAACTCTGATACGGTAGTCGATACCAAATTAGTTTTTCCAGTTCTTCATGTGATAGATGGAAGAAATCCAGGTAGGATGCAGACTACGTGGGCATATAAAGAGAGGTAGAAAACTGAAGTGCGTGTGCCTCCTTTATCAGTATGTCATGTGAAGTTTAGAACAGAATTTCCATCATTATCTCTTCAGGCTCCCATTCCTACATTGTTTAAGGCAATCGCTACATGGTTGCAGCCTAGGTAGACAGCAGGTTTAACCCTTCTGGCATGTGAACCAGTGCTCTACCACAATGCAATTTGTAAACTCCCTCTGGCTTTAGCTGAGAGTCAGGATTACATCATTTTCTCAGTGGAGTTACAAAAACACACATGCCTACACCCTACACGATTGACATGGGTACTTTCACATACATTGTTCATTTAATTCTCCTAGCTTTGCTGTGAGGTTGGGAAGGGAGATTCTCTTATTTCTGATTCTGTCATTAGGATCCAGAATGCTTTTCACTTCTCTGCCTGATACATTGGTTTGAAAATGTCACTGAAGCGTCTTGCAGTACTCATAGACTAAATGGAAACTGAATGATTCAGTCAACTGGTAACTGCGGGTGCATTATAGCATTTGTTGTGTCAGGGAGACGCCTTGGATGTGTCACGGGCCACAATTTCCTCATTTCCACCAGCTTCCTGTTTCTCAGCTCTCTAGTTTGTAACTGTCACTACAGCCATCTCTCACTCTTTAGCCTGATGCCAAAAGCAAAAGTTCAGAAGTTCCTCGTCAATCAGAAGTCCTCAGGAGCAAGGGAAGTTCAGCTTTCTGGGTAAGATGGACATTTATCACAACTGGGAGGCAGGCTGGGCATGGCAGTCAGGTGCCAGGACTCTGAAGTGGGACTGCCTGCCTGTTCATACAGGAACTGTCTTTTGATGGTTCTATGACCGTGGATAGGTTTTAAATCTCTCTAAGCTCTTGCTGTTTTCATTGATAGAATGAGGGTAATAAGAGTATAAATTGCTCATGGAGCTATTTCTTTAAAAAAATAATTTATCTGTTTGAAAGTCAGAGGTATTGAAAGGGGGGAAGGAGAGAGGCAGAGAGTGAGGGGAAAGCAGAAAGAGAGAGAGAGAGAGAATCTGTTTCAAATGGCTAGTTTACTCTCTCCATTTACTCAGATTGGCTGGAACTGAGCCAATCTGAAGCCTAGAGGCCTGAGTTTCTTCCAGGTCTCCCACAAGGATGAAGAGCTTAAGGAGTTGTGCCATCCTCTGCTGCTTTTCCATGCTCATTAGCAGGGAAACAATTACTGGAGGTGAAACAGCTGGGTCTTTAAACCAATGCCCATATGGGATGCTGGCACTGCAAGTGGCAGTTTTACTTGCTATGCCACAACACTGGTATTATTCTTTGAGGTTTAAATAACATATATGAAGTATTTAGACTAGTGCTTAACATAAAGTAAGAATTGAATAGATTCAATTATTACTTTTAAATTAAACTGCAATACATCTACACAGGTATACAGCCACCTTCAACTGTATAGTAAGTACATGGAAAGCTACTTAGCTTCAAAAGTGAATTCTGTATTTTTATAAGCCCCATGTTACTTTGTTTAAGTAAAGACTCTCTGATATTATTCTGATTTATTTTTAGACTAAGAAACAGTGTGAAAGTATTTAGGAACTTAAAATACATTGAATGTGTCTACCTTTTCTGTCACTTAATTCACACTGTGTCCTTATGAGCAAGTCAAAGTATTAGCATGATTTTACTAACAAGAAAACCCTAAGAAACAAATTTCATAAGTAGCTAGCCTGAAGCTAAAGATCCTCTCCTTGGTGAGGCTGCACTTCAACTTCAGTCAGATTGACTGCAAAATTCACATCAAAAGAGACTTACACAGTTATGGTGGTGACCAGCCCCTAAGGAGACAAGATTTTGAACCACAGCAAGGATGGGGGATTGCAAACTGAAATTGACAAAATTTGACCCACAGTGTCCATGACCAGTGATCACATCACTGGAAATTTAATGAAATTATTATACCTATCTGCTTATTTATTTTTTAAGGGAGGCGTCACCTGTATGTTACTCTTTGCTTTGAGGGCTCCTGGGATGGATGGATATATGATACAGCAACTTGCCCTCTGAATGTTTAGGCAATTTCCGCTAACTCCTATGTGAATAAATACTCGAAATAATTGAAAACTTCAAGTAAAATGAGACCAAAACAAGCTTGCATGTTAGATTAAATTCGTTTGATTTTCAGAATTTGATTTTGTCAAGGTAAATTCTATGTGCAAACATAGATGAATCGTACTCCGATTTGTTCACTGTATTTATCCCCTTATAGTATTATCTGTTTTCCCAGAGAGTTGTACAAATATTAGGGTGCTATTTTCATTTCATTAGTCAACAGGAATGAAAAATTAATCTGTGAATATGAAATGTTTTATGCCAGGCATTTTCACGATGTGGCTGTTTTTAACAACAACTTGTTTGATTTGTGGAACTTTAAATGCTGATGGATTTTTTGATTTGGAAAATGAAGTAAATCCTGAAGTGTGGATGAATACTGTAAGTCATGAGACATTCTAAAGAACATCAAATGAAGCAGGAGTAAGGTGTGGTGAGATTATCAAGACTCTTTTGGACAGCAGAACATGTCAGATAAAAGAGTAGGCAAAATGGTACTTACTACATCTGTAAGAATCAAGCTAGGCAGATCTGCTCTTTTGGTTGAATAACAAACACATGTAGTAATGCAAGCAGAATTAACTGACAGCATCACTTCCTCTTTTAAATTTATATTAAGAATATGAAGCCATTAGGATGATAGATGACTGCCTTCCAATTGTCTAGAACTATAATTGTATTACCTTTAAAGCAACAAGAATATATTTTAAAAAACTGACTTGAGAAAGTAGCTGTATCACAAAGAACGACTCGAGTATTTGCCGGTAGTAGATATTTTCTCAAGTCCCATTTACTTTTTATCAAGGCATTTTGTAAAACAATTTTAGTTGCCTTGGGCTAGAGATTCCACATAATAATTCCTTCTGCTTAGCACACACCAGATGCTGTGTGCTGGCTCTCGGTGCAAACCTTCAGTGAAGTACAACTGGTGCCTCTATTTCCACTGGGCAGAGTGAGATCATCACCTACAATGGCTACCCCAGCGAGGAGTATGATGTCACCACCAAGGACGGATACATACTCTGCATCAATAGAATTCCCCACGGGAGAAGTCAGCATGGGAGCACAGGTACGGATACGCCCTTCTTCGGAAGGAGGAGAGTATACCATTCAAACTTAGTGCTGCCTACTTATCCAGAAAGTGACGGTATTAACAAAATAAGGCGGATTTATCAGATTTGGATTAATTTAACAAATTTAAGAGGGAATCTTATTCTTTTCCTTCTAGACAAAAAATCTAAAAATACAACAGGCAAGACTGATCTTGCTAAAAACAAGTGGGCTTTCTTTCTAGAATGTAAATGCCAGGGTGCAGCCGACATTGGTATCTCATAACTGACTCTATGTGTTCCAGGAAAGTGGATTTCCTTACTGCTGAAAGATTTTCAGGGATGGATCAGGTTGACAATGAGCTACCTTCTCTCTAAAATCAAGCTTCCCTCCTCTAGTTGGAAAAGCATATGAAATGACAATGGCTTTTCTGAATGAAAACTTTGACATTCACATACACTTTAAGACACAGTTTGTAGAATGAAAGATCTTAGTTTGAACATGGCTTGAATCCTAGAACACAGGGAAAGCTATGCAAAAGCAGGGAATTCTACTCTTGGCACAGCCTCTGAAGAGGGAAAAATAAGAGTTAGCAGAGTAGCTACCGAGGCTCAATGAGGTATTACTTACAGCAATTGCTTACCACGAAGCTTAACCACTGCGCCACCGCGCCGGGCCCAAGAATTTCTTTTTTAAAAGAGGATCTATTTATTTTTATTGGAAAGGCAATTTTAGAAAGATTTGGGACTAAAACCAATTTCTAAAAAATTTACTTGAAAGGCAGAATAACAAAGGCAGAGAGAGAGGGTGGAGAGAGAGACAGATCTTTTATCTACTGATTAACTCCCAGATGTCTGCAACATTTGCAGTTGGCCAAGATGAGGTAAAAAAATAGTGACCGGAAGGAATTCAATCATGGTCTCCTCATAGGATGGCAAGGGTCCAAGTTCTTGGGCCACTTTTCACTCTCTTCCTAGGGGCATTATCTGAAAGCTGGATTGGAAGCAGAAAAGGCAGCACTGGAACTTGTACTCTGACATGGGATCAAGGTGTCACAAGCAGCAGCTTAACCCACTGCACCACAAGGTGCAGTTCTAAATACTATAAGTCAGCCAATGCTCCCAGCAGTGCTATGACATGGATAACACTAAGACTCAATTTCACAGATGATGAAATTCAATCATGACAGCTCGTAACAGACTCCAAGTCACACACATACAAGTGACAGAACCAGAATGTAAGCTCAACAACCTGGCTCCAGAACCTATGCTATTAGCTGTTAATTTAGGGCACCTTTCTGAATCATCAGCTTGGTTCTTCCCACTTGCCTGAATACTCTCACCTCCCAAATTTGGGAGCTGGTGAGGGACAATAAGCTGGTTCCTGAAGTTTTCAAATGCTCTCGGGTGAGCCAAGGCTTGAAGAGAAACAAAGGAGGAAAAATGAATATAGTTTGGCTTTTTGTTCTGGGTAGGTTTCAGTAATGTTTCAGGTGTAGTCCATTTATCATAAGTTGTCTCTTTCCCTCATTCATTTGCCTCTGTTGTTCCCATTAGCATTCACCTCCTCTTTTTTGCTGGAAAACTAATAGGACTCCTTCAACACATATTGCATTCTTGTAGGCCATGGCCAGTACACAAACACACCTTGATCTCCAATGGGGTTTATGTCCTGATAAACCATTATACCAATATAGTTAGAATACCTCTTACCTAACCTACTGAACATCATGGCTTAGGAACATAATACACAGTGTCTATTGTTTACTCTCAGGCTCTCATAAACAGGCATTGTGACCACTATCACTGTCTAGCATTGTGGGAAAGGATCTTAGCAAATACAAAATTGGAAGTGTTGTTTCAACCAAATGCACCTCTATTTCACCTCATGGTGAAGTCAGAAAATCTCTTGTGAAACCATCTTAAGTCAGTGACTGTCTATGCATGACAGGGAACGGGGACGTTACAAGCATGTGCTTTGGCTTAAGACAGGGCTGAGTTTTCATTGCTGCTCTGAGCTTCGCCAGCTGATGACTCCTAGAAAGGTTACTTAGTTATTGTAAGGTCTGGTTTTCACATCCATCAAATGAGGCTCTTTGAAACAAATGCGGCATTTAATTTTATTTATTTATTTATTTTTAATTTTACTTCTATTAAAAACTGCATTTTAAAGTAATTCTAAGAATCAAATAAGTTAATGCATAAAAATCTATCTGCTTAGTGCCAAAGTATGTAGTCAAGAAACGGAAGTTAACAAGAGGAAAATTGGATATTGTTTGGCTTTTTGTTCTGGGTAGGGGTCTATAATGTTTCAGGCATAGTCAATTTATCATAAATTGTCTCTTTCCCCCATTCATCTGCTTCAGATCCCCGGCCAGTTGTGTACCTGCAGCATGCCCTGTTTGCAGATAACACCTATTGGCTGGAGAATTTTGCCAATGGCAGCCTTGGATTCCTTCTAGCAGATGCAGGCTATGATGTATGGATGGGAAACAGTCGGGGGAACACTTGGTCAAGAAAACACAAGACACTCTCAGCCAATGAAGAGGCATTTTGGGCCTTTAGGTAAACTGACATAAGTACAAATAAGATGAAGGTTGGGACAATTTCTTTAAATAAATAAAATAGTGTGTCTGGTATTATTACAATGTATATGGAGTGATATGGAGTTCCTCGGCATTTCTACTAGCATCTCCAAGGAGAGAAACAGAAAACAGCTTTAATTTTTACAGATTCTCACCATTTTTCTTCCTGATCTGCCACATGGGTGCAGGGGCCCAAGCATCTGGGCTCTCCTCTGCTGCTTTCCCAGGTATGTTAGCAAGGAGTATTGATTGGAAGTGAAGCTTTTCAGTCTGGACTGAAAGTGGCACCCAAATAGGTGGTGACTTTATCCATCAGGCCACAACAAGAACCTGTAATACTACATAGGTATGTCCCAAAGCAATATTCAGGAAACCCCTGTGTCCAATTCACACATCTTCTTCAACCAATATTTATCAATGCACTCTATACTTGAGCTAGGTTCTGCGCATTCAGTGACATTCCCAAAGCCTCACCTCAGGAAGCTTACCATCCTTCTAGTAAATACTTCCAGAAATTTTATCTCTTGCAGGGCCAATCAGTATTGCAAAGCTGATGCGTAGCAGCACTATGTATTTAGAGAAACTATGATTGCGGTTGTACAGAATATTATTTCTAAGAAAACTCTAATATGAGTTTTTTGAAGCATGGCTAAAAGCAAGGAAGAAGAACCTCTTGATATGGAGATAACTTCTTTCAAAGGGCATTTTTTTCTGCTGGCACCAGAGAATAGGCCGATGCCTGCAATAGTCTTCATTCGTGGGACTTAAACCATTGGTTTGCAAACCTGCTTATTATTGCAATGAAATATCCAGCACTCACTGACATATTCAGAGCAGATAAGAGATAGAAAAATTTGTTAGGATCAAAGCTCTAGAGAAGGGTCAAGGTCAGTAAATATTTGTGTCACTGGTTTTTCCTGGTAGTTTGGACATTCCTTAATTGCAGGGGTGGGGAGAACATTTTTACTGCTAAAATCTATTTGGATAACAACATTGGATAACAACAACAATCAAAATCATCATCTTCAGTGAAATCCTGTCTTTTTTAACAAAAGGGATGCAATTGGAAGCCATTATGTCTGGTGAAATAAGTCAGTCTCAAAAACACAAATTTCATATATTTTCTCTAATATGTGATAGTTAAGATAGACTACAAAATACAACATATAGAAATGAAATGTTGATTTAGGAATATGATTGTTATTTTGAGCCCTTATTTATATGCCTGTGGAATTGTATTTTTCAAATTTGTTCAAAGTTATTATTTATAGTGAATTAAGTCTGCAAATATAGACTGGATTAAAATTTTTTCTTAGCAAAAACTGTTGAAGAGAGGAGAAGGAGAGACTGGGATTTGGGGGAGAAGAGAAGGGTGAGAGAAGTGAGATTAGCTTCTTGAAACTATAGAATGCATAAAATTCATTCCGTTTATACTAATAAAAAACAACAAAAAGATAATAAATTTCATTCTGCAACCTTGAAAAAGGAGTATGATGAACCTGAGATTATGTTTTTATTTAAATTAAATTAAAATAATGAAAATAGATCTATTAAACTTTAAAAATTACCCTGAAACATATTTATTGCATTTTAAGTTCTACCTGCTGTTGCCTTGGCAAGGCCAGATCAAATGATTCTACAGGACTTACAGGATCCAACAGCTGGGCGTTCCACACCCCTGCAGCCATTACAGCAAGTCTCTGATTTTAGAAGTACCAATTCAGAGATTGCTTCACATGTCCTTTAATAAAAACAACTGTAGCTCATGGGTACTTGACTTGACCCACTATTTTACAGGCCTTTTAGTTTCTCATTTTAAAATATAACTGAAATGGCAGTATGGAATGAGGGGATATGTTGAATATGTATTTATATCAATGGAAACCCAAAACAAATCAACACATTATTAAATGTCTACTAGGAACCAAACTCATTCTTTGACATTATCAACTCAAATGCAACTCTGTAGAGCAGGCACTACCCTGTCATTTCTCAAGTAAGAAACTTGGGCTCTGAGCATTTAAGTAACATGAAAAGTAACAGCACAGGTAGGATCATGATTGTAAACAGTATCTAATTATATTATATTATATTATATTATATTATATTATATTATATTATATTATATTATATTATATTATATTATCCTAAGAGTCACGAAATCCCACTGGGGAATTAGTAGTCCAGCCATGCAAATTAAATAGGAAAAAGAAGGGGAAAGGAAGGCAAGCAATGAAAAGGGAAAAGAAGGAGGCTGAACTTCTGGTGGTATCCACAAGTCTTGAAATAGTTCCTGTTATTAGAAACAAGCTATGAAAATTAAGAAAAAGCTATTCTAACATTCACCTAATTGAATAAATAATAAAATACACACCGAATGTGTAGGTAATGTAAAATTCTGCATGTAAAAAAGTGAGCAAGTTTAGAGTTTTCTACTTAGAGATATTTATTTATAAGTCTTTCTTTTATTTTTGCAGTTTTGATGAAATGGCCAAATATGATCTCCCAAGTACAATAGACTTCATTGTAAATAAAACTGGTCAACAGAAGCTGCATTTCATTGGACATTCACTTGGCACTACAATAGGTATGTCTGCAAGGTTCAATATTGGTAGAGTCTTGCTAGCACCCTGTAAACTGGAATAGAATAACTGCTATGTAAAATGCCCCATGATATGCTAAGTGACTGTGATTCTGCAGTTCTGAGACTCTGTTGGGCAAACATTTATCTCACAGCTGCACAATAATAATAGCAATGAAAATTTCCAGAAGTGAAATGAATCTGAAGAGGCCATCCTAAGTGACAAATTTCTAGTTTCCTTCTAAGCTGCAAAAGTGAAGTCCAATACCATAACAAAACTGCAAAGGATGATGAATATATATCAACCCTACTTTGGTCAGTGCCCAATCGGATTGAAATAAAATAAAAAGTGACAGTGTTAAATTTCATCAAACAGGAAAGATAGGGCCACATGTTGATGAATTTTACACAAAAGCTTACTTTAATAAATCAACTGGGTTTACTTATTTATTTAGCATGTGACTTAATATTTATAGAAAAGTAATTAAATATAAATACTATTCTGTAATTTTAAAAGTTTTTTTGATAAAATTGTCCTCTTTTCTTTAAAAATTACTTAATAATTACATAGAATTTTTATGGAAAGAAGTAAAAAATCTAATTCCAAATAAAAGTCTAAAGGACTCATACTAATGCAAAGATTCCAACTTTAAGGGAGTAAGCCACGTAAAAATGCACTATAAATGCAACAAATCAAAAATTCTTAACAATTTTATTATCACTATTGTCAACACTAAACTTAACGTTGATCAGTAATTTATATGGATAGGCAGTTTAAAGGTTGAGTAGACCATGAAGATTAGACAGTAAGCATGTACTAAAAAAGTATCTAAGAACCAACAGGAAATCCAAAAACCATTGATAGGCAGTTATACCACACATATATGATATTGAGTACTCATTCTGTGTAGGAACCAAAAAAATCTTCTGCCATCCTTAACACGAACCCTTCTACTATTGCCCCCTTCTGATAGCAGAGGAAACAGAAGCCCACACAAATTAGTGACTTGACCAAAGCCTCCTAGCACTAAGAGGCAGGACATAGATTCAAACAGGCTCACTCTGAACTGATTTTTGGAGGGACTTTTTACAAAGATACCTCAAGAAGTTCAAGTGAAAATGTGATTAAAAGATATTTATTTCAGTGGAAAAAAATTTAAAGCTATGTGTGGTTTTTTTTTTCATTATATGCATTTTCTGTGAACTTTTTAATGATCCTTTGTAACATGAGAAAGACTTGATCTGAATATGAAAAATTGCTTGTGATTTAGGTTTGTTCTTGTATTTGTTCTCAATGAAAAAAAGAGAATTGGAATACATTTGGGTCATCATGGCATTTTTCAGTAAGAATTTGAGATATAGTAATTTTTATATAGGGGAAGGATCTACTGTTTGCAGGATATTCAACAACCCAAGCCCCAAGGCACTCTATGTCAGAAGAGCTCTCTCTCTCTCTCAAATGAGTGTGGCCACCACCCCCCAAATTCATCTCCACACATTTTCAAATACAGAATTCAGAACATTTTATCAATTTTTTTCAGTCAAATATTTAAGCTATTTTTTCATTTAGCGCCTGCTTGCAAAGTGAAGTTGCCTAGAGTTGCTGCTTCCCTGCTCACTGCCGACTACTCCATCTCCTCCAACGAAGTGCAAATACAGTTTGACAATACAAGAGAAAATGAAGAAATTAGAAAGGACTTGAAGGCTGTTGTCTTGGCAAAATAACCCACAAGAACCTCCAGATTTTTCCCCAGATTCACTTCAATGGAACAAAAACTGTTACACAGAACCCCATTTTTGTTAGTAGAAATATTGTTTGAGTATTTCTCGTTTTTATAAGGTTGTCTTTCCCATTCTCTCAGGATTTGTAGCCTTTTCCACCATGCCTGAACTGGCACAAAGAATCAAAATGAATTTTGCCTTGGGACCAGTGGTTTCATTCAAATATCCCACAAGCATTTTCACCAGTTTTTTTCGGCTTCCAAATTCCATAATCAAGGTAGGCTACTCTTTTTAGCCAAAATTTACCTAAACAGTGCATTTTGGATCATTAAATTGAAATATTTTTTCAATCTTTTATGAAGGGAAATAAGAAATGTACAGAATCTATAGGAAACATTCTATGACTGTGTGTGTGTGTGTGTGTGTGTGTGTGTGTGTGTGTGTGTGTGTGTGTACTCATGTGTGAAGGTCTGTGCATAGTACCCACAGGTCCCATACACAATTTACTACTCTAGGTCACTAACAGGGCCAAGTACATGTCTGAATTTCTCACTGAGCTCAGATCACTAGATGGTCTACTCACAAACTCTCTTCTTCAGCATCATTGGACAATTTGGTGAATTCACAATGCCCCCTCTCCAAGAAAAGATACTTTTCAAGTTTCTTATGATCATTGACATTGCTGACACTGGCACTAGATAAGTGTAATAACTTATCTGTCCCCTTTCAGGGACAGCTTGCCACAAGGTACTAAAGCTAAGAATTCAGAGCCAAGAACTCATTAAAAAATCATTTGGGATTTTTCAAAGGTAGAAAGGATCCGTTTTTTTTTTTTCAACAACAAATTTGAAATTTTATCCATTAAAGAGGTGACCTTTTCTTGTTTGTTTTTATTTCTCTATGAAGGTCATGGCTACAGACCAAAATATTTTTACCACAATTACCTTTTTAATTAGGGGTATTGGGAAAAATGGTTTGGGGCCAAAATGAAGACCAATTAGAGTATCACCATAATTCATACACAAGCAGATGAGTCCATGGTTTAGGGTGGAGTGTCGGGAATGGAAAAATAATAATTTGAGAACTAACACAAGGAAAAATTTCCTTAGGGCCTAATGATTGGTTTGCTATGACTTAATGTATTGTATACTGTAAGCAGAAATTACGTAGGTTCCCTTTTGTGTGGCTAATAGTTCTGTATCAAAATGTGTTGTCATAAGTTCTGAATGTCATCTACACATGAATAAGCTAATTTGTTAAATTCATAGGTACACTCATCTAAATGTAACTACATCTATTTCATTTGTATTTCCCTTTCTACCTAGATGAGCCATAGGGCAAGCAATGTTCTTAACTTACCGGTTTCCTATGGCAAAAATCCCTGCCTCTTTAAAACACATGCTGTTTCCTATTCAGTTGCCCTCGGACATGCCTAGACTTCAATTGTAGCTTTCCCCTGCCCCAAGCTTTCTTAACCTGCACAGCAACACCATCCTTCAAAGTTCCTTTCTTAAGACCCACAAGTTTTAACCACCCTGTCCTGATGATTCTATCTAATCTTGGTGCTCTGTAACACTCTTCCTTTACTATTTTATTCTCTGCTTTTCAGTGTGAGATCTAGCTATTCCGGGACAGTAATAGGAAGCCAAATGTGCACACAGACAACATGGGAAACTATGCTTTTCCTACCTCATCAATGTAATATTTAGCCTCAAGAAGAAATTGTTGCACCTTTCTTGCCAACAGAGAGACATAAACATTGACAATCACTGATTAGACAATACAAGAGAGCTTCACTGTGGAGAAGAAATTTGAGGTTTAGAATCATTACAATCTATGTGAATAATGTGTGGGGATCTTTCTTGTTTGAAGATAGACATGTAAGTCACTTCCTGAATGAGTTGTTCATTTAATCAAAACAGCAAATACAACAGTAATATATCCCCCAAGTCTGAATGAGTTATAAAATATGAAAGTCTGAATGGTTCTTGAGAATATATATATATTTATTTATTTATTTATTTATTTTCACAGGCTCTTTTTGGTACCAAAGGTTTCTTTTTAGAATTTAAGAATGGGAAAATTCCTTCTACTAAAATCTGCAATAATAAAATGCTATGGATGATATGTAGTACATTTGTATCCTTATGGGCTGGAGCTAATACAAAAAATATGAATATGGTATGTATAAACAAATGTGCCTTTTGATAATTCTAACTTTCCCTTAATTAATACTGATATGTCTACTATATTATATTAACTCATACGGGATTCCAAACCTTAAAGGCAGATATCTCCTATGAACAGAAATATACTAAGATAGTAGTCTAGAAAAGAATGCTTCATTCTTCTATATTGGGCTAAAGTTGAGAAACCGAATGTTCTAGAGTAGGTGGTAGTTTCTCACATGTCCACAGTCAGCCACAACTTAGTATATATAATGTAAATATATTGTGTGTGAATACATTAGTGGAAAAACAAAATTCTGGAAAAGAAGAGAAGCTCATACAAGTATTGCACTTATTTCATGAGCTTTCCTTTGTGGGTAATGATGATCTCAAAGAAAACTCATTACTTGGAAAATGTACAACACGATGTAAGGTCAGTAGAATCCACTTTCTATGAAGCAGTAGCAGTCCTGTTTCATCAATTATATTTCCTGTTATTGAGAACTTAACAATTAGAAAGGGGAGGTTACATTTGCAGCCTTGTTCTGTTAAATTGTCCTATTATATTCCAAAGGTCAGCCAACAAGACTGCTGCAGTGAATCCAGTTACAAGAAACCAGTCCTCAACCAGCCAAGACCACTTCTGTTCTATTAGAGGCTATATTATGTTAGACTAAGATCTCTGAATAACCATTGATCAAAGCCTGCTTGTCATAAAGTAGATTTTTAGTGATTTCTTATGGGATTAGGTTAATTATAATCCAAGACATTGAGTGATGATCACTATTTCAAAGATTGGAATAATTTGAAAAGAATTGGCTTATAGATTTACTTTTGCAAAAGTTCAGCAGGTTGGTAATATGATGTTTTGTAAGTTATTTTGATAAATAAAACCAGAAACTCACAGATTTTAAGTAACTTGTCTAAATCTATAAATTTGATAATAACCTTAGAGCCTTCAGATTTTCTGCCCTACTGATTTTTGAGAGTGCACATGTACCACCTCCACTCATACTTGCTTTGATCCTTGATGCCTATCTATTGCTGTAGCCTCTTCAAAATAAGCAAATCTTACAGATTCAGAGCTGTTGCAGGTTTAGTCTCAAACAATCCTTTCCAGTAGTCAACCCATGGTTTACTCACATTGTAGCACCTGGCATAAATACATATTTATCTAGATTATTCTGCCTCATGGCTCTCAAAAACCTCAGCATTCGTTTACTCATTTTCAGAACACAATTATTTTATTGGGTGGCCATTGGTTTAACATGGTTTTGTTTCTCCTAGAGTCGAATGGATGTATATATGGCACATGCTCCCACTGGATCTTCAGTTCAGAACATTCTGCATATAAAACAGGTGGAGTCTTTGTCAATATTTTCATTATTCATACAAAGTTAGAATTGGCCCTGTTGACAGTCCCACAGGAAGGAGCTTCGTGACTGGCTTTCAAGGTGTCATTGTTTTCATATTTATGCTTAAATTTCTCTGAATTTTAAGAGAAAGGACTCCATGGTGCAGATCAAATGAGTGAGCTAAATGAACCCATCTTACATCCAGCTTTGTAAAATAGGCCTACAGGAGGAAAAGAAATACATTGAGACGTCTCAGGGGAGCGGAGACTCCCCCTGATAGGAAATATATGGGATTAGACTTTTCTAATGAATCTTGCTGTTTTTCCTCTAAACCGAGGTAGACCATTGTCCCCTTTCAATGGGACCCCATTTTTCACAATGATAATTTCATAAAAATCACCTGTATATGGGATTTTTCTTAGATTTGCTGTTAGCTGTTATGATTCCTACTGTTGCAATTTCTTTCCTATAAACCATTTATTTCAGCTTTACAGATCTGATGAATTCAGAGCTTATGACTGGGGAAGTGAAGCTGAGAATATGCACCACTACAATCAGGTGAGCTACTCAACGGGTTCCAGAATGGAGATTTTGAGAAATTACAATCAAACTACTTGAGAATGCTAAGAATCCTTTCTGGAAATTGGTGGTTTGGATGTGCACAGATAGAGATTTTTAAAAGACGTCTAATTTAACTTGTACTCATTTGAATTTTAGAAATAAAAGAAGCGTAAGAGTATGCCTAGAAATAACTAGATATGTTAGCATACATATTGATGTATTAGCTGGAATTTTTAGCATTATACTTCTTTCATATAATGATTTTGCTATTTTGTGTATAACTCTAGAAAAAAAGTAAATGATATTCTGATAGACTTCTTCACACAATTTTAATGTCTACATGAAAATGGAAATTGTTTCATGAGAATCTTGACAGAATAAACAAATAAATACTTCTTGACTCAGCTGAAAAAAAAATGAGGTTTCAAAGGCAGTTTTAAAGATATTAACCAAAACCATTGAGATGAGGCTTACAATATCTTTTTTCAAATAACTTCACATATCAAAATGTGAACATTTATTAAGTAGTATATGTTTGTTCATCCCTGCCACCACTTTTCTGTTCTTATAGTTAGAGGTTAGGTCTAAATATGAAATAAATATATTACCCTAACTTTTTATCAAACTAATCTTTTCAAAGGCACTACTAGTACAAATACAGAACAACTAAGTTGTTTCTGAGCATCAAAACAGTCAATCACACTGGTTAATTTCATAGTACTGAACTAAATTATTAGAGGAATATTTCTACTAGCTCCAAATTCAACAAAAGTTAGACTATACTTGTTCTTTATTTTTAATTACTTAAGATATGCCTTACATATAAAACTAATTTTATGTTTTTGATGCATTTTGAAAAATTATTCATTAGCACAATTTTACCATAATTCAGATACAGAACATTTTCTATTATCTCCAAAGATTTTCTTCTGCCTCTGACTGTATACAAGCACATATTTGGAAATGTTTAGAACAGCTCAGAAAGAAAATAATCTGCAAATGCCAAAGTGGTTACTTTCAGAGAATGGAAGAAAGGAGGAAGGAGATGGATCAATACAGAGCTGTAAAGAGCTCTATTTTTCTTCCATTATTTTTATTGATCGTATTATATGTTGTTTACATTTTAAAAATGGAGCAACACACACATACGTTATTCTGAGTCACAGTCACGCTCTAAGCAATGTGAGAGTGTCAATATCTAAGGTATGCGAACGTGTTGAAGTGTAGCTGGTGCTATCCTGCTCCTGGCCAATCCTGTTTAGTTTGTTTTGGGCTTTTTATTCATTTGTATGTAACCAACTTTTGTCACATTCCTTTAAAAAAAATTGTCTCAGAGATTTGCACTCTTCTTAATTTTTGAGCACTAACTCTGTTCCCACTGTATGATTGAGTACAACAGAATTAACCTATGTCAGCTTCCTTACAGTAGGGAATTCTTTTATCATTTTTTTCACTAGTCCTTTCACACTTAGCAGTGTATCTGCTACATAATGTACTCAATAACTGTAGCATGAATGAAAATTTTAAGCTTCTCTTAACTACTTTGAAATGGTTCATTCAGGATTCCTTCTTTCTGTATTAGAAAATGAAGTTCCTATTATTTTCCAAATTATCCCATTCCCGTGTTCCTCATCCCATCTCCTCCCACCTCCCTCTCCTCCTGGATCATTTTATTATCTTAAGTGCACTCCTACCTCTTATGAAAGACACGGGAATGAAACTTCCTTTAACCTATCAATTGAATCAAAGTATCATTCTGTCACCTTAGTTTTAGCAATGCTTTTCAACATCTAAAAGAACTTTTTCTCTTCTGCTCATTCTGGAACCTTAAAAATTACCGCTTTGGTCTTGATCATTCCATATAGCTACTCTATTTGGTATTATGCATGGCTTTTGATTGACAAATCCAATGGTCGACTTCCACGTGTTGCATCCTACTGTTCCCTTCTTGGAACTCATGTGCCTCACTTTAACTTCCATCATGCAGTGCTTTCTGACTTTTCCTTTGGGTTGATGGCTACCTTTGATCCCACCACTCTTCCATTTATCACTCTGGAATTTTTGGCCTTCCTCCAGAATTATTCACAATTCTGTTTCTTCTTTAAAGAATTTAGCGATTTCCATAGTTTCAATTTAGCCATTCATATATTAACTTCCTAGTGTTTTTTTTTTTAATTTTAGGACTCACATTCAATCTACTTCTTCCTAAAACCATCTTACTAATCGTTGCCCAAAGTAGGTGATATAAGATGGCTGTTGGTAAAACAACACTGCCTAATTCCCCAAACTTCTGAAAGTTATCCAAATTCCTTTACCTGATATTCAGATCTTGACTCTTTACCTCCAACTTCACATCCTGCTATGGAACCTTAACTTTTTTGTTTTTTGGGTTTTTTTTTAAGTTACATGGGAAGCTTGGCATTCACATTCATGATCTGCAAACACTTCTTGCTCCCACAGCAGCTCTCACTCTATCTCAATCAAACCCAGTGAGTGGTAGCTCCGCAGTCATTTCAAATGACTCCTGTTTATATGAATTTACCAGCTGGGAATAATTTCTTTATTGCTTTTACTTCCACTATCTATTGGAAATATTTGATAGAATTTAGCACACGCTATAAATGTTTGTTTAGCTGTTATGCCTTGTTCCCTCTTTTATAAATTCTGTGAAGGCAAGCAGCCATACAAGCTTCTTCCCCATTTCACTTGGTACTCAACACAGAGAGAACCATAGCCGATGCTCAGTAAGCAGCCTTTCTATTTATCCCAACTCAGTTGTTGCTACGAGGGTCTTGTTCACAAGTGCTCTATTTCTTTTTTACAGAGCCATCCCCCACTATATGACTTGACAACCATGAATGTGCCTACTGCTATTTGGGCTGGTGGTCATGATATCCTTATCACACCCAGGGATGTGACCAGGATACTTCCCCAAATCAGGAATCTTCGTTACTTCAAATTAATTCCAGATTGGAACCACTTTGATTTTGTCTGGGGTCTTGATGCTGCACAACGGATGTATAGTAAAATCATAGCTTTAATGAAGGAATATCACTAAATGTAATGCATCTACTTTTCAGTTAAAAATTTCTTGCAAGTCCATTTGTTTCTTTCTGAAAAGAAGTAGCAATGAATAGCGAGGATGCCCCCAGCACTCTTGATACCGTTTAAGATCATATGAATACTTCACTGCTTGTCATGACATAATGCTGACTTAACAATCTTTTACTTCTTTGAAACATTAGAAAATTTCATGAAAAACTGACAAATGAAAACAGTGTAAAGTTAAGCTAAGATGGAAGCAGAAGTCAGATTTGGCATATAAATGTTATCAATGTTATTCCTTCATCCTAAAAGTAATAGGAAACCATCCAAGATTTTACCTAAAAAAGGAAATTTAGTACTGTCCTATTTGGAAAATATCACCCAGACTGATAGAAAATGGTGGGGAAAGGATTCTGGGGGAAGACTGAATCTGGCCAAGTTTCCTGAGGCAGAGTAATCCCTTCCTGCTATATTCTACAAGCAAGTGGATCCGCAATAATCCAGAACTCACAGACCTGACACTACCCTGCCCAGCCCTGCTGGCAGATGCACAGGCTGCTGGCTGCCCTCAACACCAGTATGCATCAATTTAATAGACACACATTGATACGGAGCAATGATCACAATGAAAATCATGAAGCAATATGGGAAACTACTCATAATACTATGTAAAAACATGAAGAAGAATGTAGAATTATTTTACTCATACACAAATATGAACTAACTGTATAACTTTAGAAAACACTTCAGCACAATGAGGACCGAAGCATATAAAAATAAAATTAGCTGCATCAGGGTATTAAATGATGGATGATTTCTTAAATATTTCAAAAAAATTGTTTACATGGTAGTGATTATTTTGTTTCATTAAAGACTAATTTCGACATTAATTTTAATTACACATTAAATAAATGTATTCCATGCTTTTTCTGAACTGAGTTACGTGTATGAAGCTTATTTATAAGAAACTAATAAGAAAAACCTCCAAAGTGAAGAAGACTAGGAGAAAGCAATTTATACATGTTTGCTGTAGCACAGTGTAATTCTGCTATATGACTGCCTACAGAAGAAAACTTGACAATCAAAATAAAGACACCTTCACCTGAGACTTCCATAAATTATAAGCAGTTAATAAGTATACGATAATGGTAATTCATAGTTAAAAATACAATTCATACTACAACACATCAGTACATAAGGATAGGGTGCTCATTAAATGGTATTAAATCAATTGAATATCCATATTTTCTTCAAAAATCATTTTTATCTATTTCAGATCATGTATAGTACTCAATCATACATGTAATATTGAATGATTAGATGACTCTCTTAGAGGATAACACAGGAAATTATTCTCATGCAATGCCTTGAATGGGTCTCAAAAAGAACCCCTAACAACCCCTAATCTGCTCTCCATTCCTCTAACGTTGCATAAATGGAACCATGCAGAATGAGATCTTTTGATATGGGCTTTTTCACTCAGTGTAATGTCCTTGAGATACATCTGAATTGTTACAAACATTAACTCTTCTTCTTCTCCTTCTCCTCCTTTACAGCTTAATTTAAATTAACCCATCAGAAAGGAGGGTTTTGTACCTTAAGGTCACCTTGAAATACATCTGAATTGTTACAAATATTAAGTTTTCTTCTTCTTCTTCCTCCTCCTCTCCCTCCCCTCTTCCCCCTCCTCCCTCTCCCCCTCCTCCTCTTCTTCTTCTTTTTACAGCTTAATTTAAATTAACCCATCAGAAAGGAGGGTTTTGTACCTTCAGGTCACCTTGCTCAGCAGTGAAAAGTCAAAGTATGGATATGCCAATTTATTCAACTACTCAGCCACTGTTCTGAACTTTCAAGTTCTGACTTCTTTGGACTTATCATTGCTCAGCAAAGTGACATGAAAATGGAAAATCCTCAATTCTGATGGATTAATTTGAATAATTGCTTAGTCCAATTCAAAACTAATTTCCTTCCCTGTGCTGACATCTTCAGGGACCACAGAGACTGTGAGTGTCTCACGTCACCATTTTCCACTCAAGATTTAATTTGCTATTTAGACCTTAGAAACATGGATGTGGTTTTACATTTTACAATTATAATGATTTAAAAAATGTTTTGGGATAGAGTGAAAGTGCCTTCTGGCTTTCCTGTGCTAACAGATTATAGAATACTTCCTTCAGCCATTGTCAAGGTATGACAGATCTTTAGCCCATCAAAACCTTCATCAGTATCAGCACATCAGCCTGAGAGCCAACCCAAATAAACAGTACGATGTTGTGTAATCATTGCAAATCTTACCCCAAGCATAAATAAAATCTCCAGGACTTTTTTTTTTCTATTTTCATTGTTTTACAGGTACAAAAAGGTAAATTCTTTGAAAAATAGCATGATTTCTATGAAATACAGATTCAAGAATGTTTCATGTTACTCCCTCAGCCCCTTGACACCCAGAGCGCTCCTAACTTCTGTCTGTGGAGGAATTCTGGTGTCCACCTTCCTTCTCTCTGTACCTTGAACCTTTGTTTGCCATCTTGGCTGCATTGCTTTCCTAGAAAAATCATCAGCTGATCTAAGAAAGATGATTTGTTTTGAATAGAAGATGCTCTTGATAAGCTTCATCAAATTATGTGTATGATTGAATAATATCTTCCCTATTTTGCCACTCTGTTCTGTTTGCAACAAAAAGAACCCTGAAAGCTCTGCAATGAGTCATGAACTCCTGGTCTTGGCGTGAGCCACAGCATGGCTCCAGCAGTGTGCAGCAGAGAACAGAAGCTCGGAACAGAGATAACAAAAGCCAACAGTTCAGTGTGGGATAGGGCAACAATTTCTGACCATATGACAATTATATGAATGAATTTGTCATTCATATAACTGGAAACTGAGAATGCTTTAAGATTACAATGAAGTGCCTATTCATATTGTAATAAAATACACATACTTGATACAAAATTACAAAATTATAAGGATAGTATGATACTAAGTAGATATTTTAAGTGATTTTTTTGCATTGTTATAATACATATCCATGCCTCCATAGTTGTTTATGTTTATCCAGATTGAACTTTTTCCCACTTTTTGTCATATTCCTTAGCCACAAGTATGTATGTTTTTTTCAAGTATTAGTTTTCAGTAAATGAAATTGATTCAGTAAATGAAATTGAACATTGAGTGACCCTGTAGGTCTAGAAATGCCTTCTCGATGGTTTAACCCAAAAGCCAAAATATCTTCTTAGTACAAAGTTCTGGAGTCATTTTTTCTATTGTTTTGTGAAATTTAGCATTATACCTGAGCAGTCTAAAGTTGTCTTTGTATTTATATATTTGTAAGTAGCCTGATGTTATTTTATGACAATTATTATTTTTCTACTTCTCTGTTTATTTCATATTATTGTGGTTTGTCTTGTTTCCTCCATAAAAGTAAAAATATTTAACAAGCATATGTTTGTAAAGGCACCTCCCCTTCACCATAATTTTATAGTGACTCCTTTCTTGTAGGATACTTTTTCACAATTGGTGTTTCTATGTGCCTGATTTAATCTTCTAAACAAATAAAGGAACTTGTCATCTCTACCTGGTTTTGATTTTCTCTATATCTGTGACAGTTCTCATGTTGTTTTCTCTGATTTACAGTTTTAGTAATTAAGTTGTTCTCAGGATCACTAAAACAGTTATTCAATTACTTGCTCTATAGCTTCCAGCATTTTAAACTATGTATAGTTTTCTTGCACTTTAAAAAAAAAACCTTATCCAATTTTCTTGGGTACTGCATGCTATTTTATTTCTATAAAGAAAAATCTCAACCCCAGAAACCTATGGAGAGGTGGAGTTAGGCCACTTGGGAGGCCGTCTTCCCATTTCCCAGTCTTGGGTGTGAGTGCCACCTGCTCCCCTTCCAAGCAGCTTCCTGCTAGTAAAGACCTGGGAGGTACTTGTGTCCTCCACACCAACATGGAAGAACTGAATTATTTTGGCCTTACAAAGGTTTTCTTTCTTTTTGTCTCTCTCCGTTTTTCTCTCCTCCCTTTCAAATAAAGTGAAAACAAATATAAAAAACCAAACTATACTGCAGTGAATACCTATTCTTACTTCCATTTTTGTCACAACATAAAGTTATATCAATTTGGTGCTTTTTCAAACCACCATTTATTTAATTTAAAATTCCATAGATTCTAATTATGATTAAAAATAATTATATATATGCATTATGATGCATAACATATGAGTAGATGTTTATGCATTGTAAATGTCTCATATGAAAAACACTTTTTATCTTTACTTGTATTTTTGCTGTATTGTTTTAATTTCAATATTGAATTTTTCCCCAGTATTTCTTTTTAGCATTAGCTCATCTAAAATGTCAGGGCACTCCCCAACAAGATACTGTATCTTCATCAGCTTTTCATCATTTTTTTGCCAGCCTTTAATGGCAATCACCTCTTCCCTGAGTAGTTTTTGGAGACCAGCTGCCTTGTCTCCATAGGCATATAAACATTGTCCTCGAATTACTCCACACGATTCTCTTCCCTGAATTCCTTTCTTCTAGAGCATAAAACAAGTACATAGGTTGAAAAATGTTAAACTCCATAATGCCTGTCTCCAACATGAGACAATCATGCATTTGGAATCAAGTTTACTTGATCTGATATTTACCGAAATATCTTGTTTTACCCTGAGGAAGTAATTTTTTTTCTGGCTCTCATTTTTCCTCATCTCTAAAATGAAGTGTTGGGTTGGATGATTTTTTTAAAACTATAAGTATTTCATAAGTCAATTCATATCCCATATAGTTTAGATCTGGCCAAAATACATTATCCACAAGCCTCATGTGTCTACATAAATTTTAGTAAATTCAAATCAAATGAAAAATTCAGTCTTCAGTTTAACACCCACATGTGACTCTTAGTTACTGTATTCATGTGAAACTTTCACCATCTGAGAAAGATCTAATGGTTGGAATATTCAGGGTAAGACCTAGAAAGAAGGGACTCAACAAGAATGGGTTCACTCCAGGTTAAGTGGATTCATTTAAGCAAAGCTGAATCAGCTCAAGTCTGGAAGAAACAATTATTGGTAAAGGTCACTAAGATTAGCTTATTGCAAGGGAGGCTTACCGATGCTGTAATCTGGGAACATTTACAACTAATATCTACTAACTGCAAAATACGGGGTCTTGGGAAAGTAACTGAGTCACTATGAGCAACCGTTTATACTTATGTAATTTGAGTATAAGAAAGCCAGTGTCGAAACCTTGAGACAATTAGCATGATACATAAATATCGATCCCCCAGCAAGTGTCTAGGAAGTAGTTTGTACATTAAGGGATAAACTAAGCATTGGCAATGATGATGCTCTCACTCTCAGATGCCTCTTGAGACATTCCTTGTAGAGTCTCCCACCCCCACCCCCCCAAAAAAAAACTACCTTCACCAGGAAGAATTCCTTGAGCTTCCCTGTTTTCATCTATTCTATCTTCTGCTTAAAAACCCATATTTGAATTTTCCTACATTTTGTTTCTAATTTTCCCCTGTGCCTAACTCCTTGAATTGCTCTTATTTGTAGTACATTAGCATAGACCATGTGAGTTCTACAGCTTAACTTTATCTCTTAGTAAGTCTTTCAAAAAATTTTGTACAAAGCCAGGGCCCAATAAATAACAGAAGTAGTCAGATGGAAATCTTCTGACTAATTCTGTTATTTGTGAGTAAAATGAATGATTTTTTGTTGTTGTTGTTTTTGAAGAGAGCTTGTAGTAAGTTATCGCCCTCTCTTACCGGTCTGCCCTCTATTTATATACAGAACCAATCCTCAAAAGCAGCAGAAAGGAAGTGGAGTTTCATTCCCTGTGCAGAGCTAACTGAAGAACACACATACCATCAACCATTTGATTCTGCTCTAAATTGAAGCAGGGTAGTATCTACCATGTAATATTGTCCGAATA